CCAAAACTGCATGCCTCAAGAAAATGGACAGTTTGATATACTACAGAGTACCCCTGAAATCAAGGAAAGCACGTCTAAGGCAACATACCTCTGCTTTTAACTTCTGTAACTTTTCCATCAGCTTCTATTTGCAGGAAAAGTCAAGTGACTAACAAAAAAGATTTTCGTTGCATTCCAACAACTGTACTAGACTTCCATCAGGATGCTAGAAACCAGTAATTTTAGTAGGTTCTTCCTTGTCATTGAACAAAAAGCTCTTTCAAACATCATGGTTACACCTATGCTGTATCAGGTAGCAAGCAGTCTCCATTTCAAAATACACTTTGGCTTTGAAGAAGATTTTCTTTTTGAACAGTAAACTAGTGAAAGCAGAAATTTCTGGAACATTTTTATGAAATTTTTAAACCCAATTCTCTTTACATATTTACTAAATTCTAAAAGAAACTGATTTCAGTCCTTCCTTATGGAAGAATTCTTTGTATTTATATAAATGACATAAAGGGCATATGCACTTTTATATACACCTCAAAATGTATTGAGGTGTACTGCACTGACTTATGTGTTTTTCAGTTTGAAGCGGGTAATAGAAAGTACACATGAAATGTGAGAGAAGTTCTGAATATTTACACCAAATCAGTAATTCACATAGATCTGATACCGAAGAATTGTGCATACAATTATGCAAGTCTACATAYTAGACTTTGAAGTTAGTTTCAGTAGCACAATGTGGTATGCAATATTACATAGCTACTTCTATTTTTTTCTCTCTTTGCAGTTATACATCTTTATTAAGATTTATGCAGCGACCTTTGTAGGAAGCTAAGAAAATGTTGCTGGGGAACTTTTGAATCTTTGTTAGCACAAAGTGGGTATCAGTTGTGAGCAAGCTTGTCATCTAGCAAAGACCTCAGAAGTTTCCAGGGGCCAAAGAAGTGATTAGGAATTCACCTTACTGCTACTGAGATGTACCGAGCAAGGTAGTTCCTCCACAGCTAGCAAATTTAAGAATGGCTACAGAAATCAGCTTTGACAAGTTCTTTAGAGTCCAAGAATAAAGCATGCAATCACAAATAGGAAAAAGCAAGGGAACAGTGCTCTGATTTGGAATACACAATAACATAAAATAACAAACAATAATAGTGTGCATATACACATATAATTTATAATAAACAATAATAATAGAAAAAAAGCAGGCAGAAGACCAGAAACCAAAGTCCTGCTTATTCCTTCACAAAGCTGCAATGCAGCTAGAACTGAGGTAAGCATTTTTCTTGTCCTCACATTTGCCTATTCCTGACATTGAGGGAATGGAGTGGGAGGATTTAACCTCGAGGCTTGTTTAGTCCTTGGTCACTGTGCCCTGGCAGATAACCTAAGTGCTGATTACCATCACTTTCAAGATAAAACCTCCTTGCGTGCAGGCAAATCAATCCTCAACTATCTCCAGGGAAGTTTTAACATTTTACAACAGCCCAAGGACTTGCCCACATGCTTGGAGCCTCGTACTTCAGTAGATCAGTATCCCATTAGCCACCTTATATCACTCCCCAAATTGGGAGATCATAATGGGAGTTTATCCCCAAGATCAAAATACCATCCTTCCCTGACTCTGGAAGGAAAGCACATTTACATTCATAAGTCAATGTTCACATCATTAYATCTAGATTTATTGTCCAAGAGATTTGTCTTTGCTTTTCTCCTTCCTTAAAGAGCCTTTCCTCAGAGAGGAGAGTAGGCAGAGAYACCAAGGGTCTTCACCAGCATCACCATTATTAACAGTTTTCTTCTCCTCCTTTTTCCATTTCCCTCTGGTTTTATATGCTTTTTTTTTTCAGCTATATGATACCTTGTGATGTGTTTAAAATCAGAGTTCAGGAGTTGCTGGTCTGCTGCAGGTTGAGTAATACTTTTTTGTATGTTTGCACAGGATAAACATCTTTTTGCAAAACAAAAAAAGAAACCAAAAAAAAAAAAACCCAAACAAAAAAAAAAAGTCAAAGAAACCAACAACCCACACATTACTGACAGTTGCTCACTGGCCACTTCCTTTGTTGACAGCACCCAGAAAGACAATAGAAGTCATTGGCCTCAGGCACTTTGCCAAGAGCAAATAGAACCAATAGGAAAATAAGATGAAAACAAGAGCAGTAACACTAAATGATATCTATATTTTCTCCACACTAGACAGTAGCATAAATGTCAGTTAATGGAAGCAGCTGTCAGTCAAACAGAATTAGTAATAAATAACAAAAAATGTGTCATTGTCAAAAAATGAAAAAAGAAAAATGGTAATAGCAAACAAAGAAGAGTGGTTTACTGCCAAAGGGGAAAAATACACTCTCATTACTCATTTTAACAAGGCAATTTTCTTTCCATGGTTCTACCTCTTCAACTGATAAAAATTAAAAATGCCATTTTAAGTCCTCAAAATACTCTTTTGACAATCTGTTATTCAGCAATATCTTTGCTTTCTGAATAGTGTTACCTGGACAAAGGAAATTTCAGTCCGAATATCATTATATGGTATAAACTTCTCCAGTCATGAGACCTACTTGATTTTCATAACTCATACTCAAGGAAAGCAAGAACCCCCATTATATGAGATACCAAAATGCGCTGAACAAAATCCCTGGGAATTTACTGTATGCAAAAGCAGGAAGATAGCTTGAGAATTGACAGTAGAAGGTCTTTTAACATAAAATTAACATAAGTCAGAAYATTCTCATGCTCGAATTCCAATCCATTTATAATGTACAGCCTTATCATCATTGTTGAGTAAGTACATTTGAATAGTTATTTATGAAGTTAGAACAAATAACTGTTAATTTGCGGCTAAATTGGAATGAAAAAAAAAATCAGTTTTAAGTTTTAAATTTTCTCCTAGCAGGGCTATTTCAATAAATCTTTATTTAGACTCTACTTGCATACATCCTTAATTGTTGCAACTTAACCCAGACTAAAAGACAAATTTGGTGCGCTATAYAGAATTAAAAAAACAGAACCAAATATAAGCCAAGTTGCAGTAAATAGAGGCAGAATGTATATTAGCTCACAATGAACCCTGCTTGTATGGACCTGTTGTGTGTATTCAAGATATTTGTTTCACAAACTGCAGGGCAGCTTTTTTATCAGTCTGTTAACATGCTCTAGCCATGATTATGTGTCTTTAGCAACAGCAACACTGCAGTGTTAGTAATTTCCATACTTCAAATCAAAAACACAGAAAATGAAAAAAAATAAAAGGCCAAGAAGTGAGCAGAACAAATAATATTACTAAATCATACGATTTGATCACTGTATATTAAGTCACTGTATATTCTTAATCCATATTAGCAGAGATTATGGCAACTGAATAATATGGATACCTAAAACTCATGGCAATAGACCTACATAGCAGTCTAAAATTTCTCACTTGTATTTTCATCTTTTACAAAAATCAACTTCCAGATCTGCAAAGGGGTGAAAGCATGATAAGATCTTGGAGGCAGAACTGTCTGTCTCACATAAGTGGGCTCTGTCCCAGAGCCGTGTCTACTGTGAATTATGCCCTTCTCAKGGCAACAAACTTGGAGGATTCCAAACTCTTCACTGTAAGAGTCACAAAACTGGCTTCCTGGGCAGTGTTAATGTGTTCCACCCACATACAAAATATGTAATGTGTTCATTTTTCACTGTGAGGAAGTCTGAATATGGCCAGTGCAAATGGTCTCCTCTGTTATAAGAAAAGATACTTTCAAAATAGCTGGTAATTAACATACTAAGGAATTAATTCATTATGTCAATTAGAATTTGATGGTTCCCAGGAGATTATGGCTTTTTTTATGCAGAATCACAAAATGGTTGAGGTTGGAAGGGATCTCTGAGATCATCTGGTTCAAGCCCCCTGCTCCAATAGGGATATCCAGAGCACGGGGCACAGGGCGGCATCCAGGCGGGTTTGGAAGATCTCCAGAGAAGGAAACTCCACAGCCTCCCTGGACAGCCTGTGCCAGGGCTCTGTCACCCTCACACTAAAGAAGTTCTTCCACACATGGAGATAGAACTTCCTGTGTTTCAACTTATATCCATTGCCCCTTGTCCTATCACTGGTCACCACTGAGAAGAAATTGGCCCCTTCCTCCCTACATTCGCCCTTCAGGTATTTATACATATTAATCAGATCCCCTCTCAGCCTTCTCTTCTCCAGGCTAAGCAGGCCCAGCTCACTTAGTCTTTCCTCATATGAGAGATGCTCCAGTCTCAAGTAAAAGTTTGATCTACACCCTAACTTGTCCCAAATTCTTAATTCAAAACCAAAGTTAGTGTCCTTTCTTGAGTTTCATAGTGATGCTTGTAGCCTTTAGCTCAAGGTTTATCAAAACTGTTTGTACATAAAAGGAGCAGTATTCAAAGCCCTATAACCCAAAGCTTTCTCCATATTGTGATCATTACAATTGTTTTCCTTTTTTAATGATTACACTTACATTTTTATTTCCAAATTCCAGCTGTCCCAATTTTTGCTCCTCCCAATTAAATCTACAACCAGTAGTACACGTCCAAAACATGTCAAACATAGGCAGAGCAAAGAGCAATCTATAGCTCCATTGGCCAATAGATTGAACTCTATGGTAGCAAAAGCTGATGCTTTCAGTATCAGCTTCAGAGSAACATGGCACACCACAGAAGAAACAGAATTGAAAAAGGTGTCAAGCCAAATCTGTTACCTGGCTGATGAGGTTTTGCTTTTCCACCAYCAACTGCTGAAATACTGGATCCAGAAGACGAAGCTTCCATTTTTATGGACTTTCTGATTCGTGGGAGTGAAAGATGCCCAACCACAGGTGGACACTGTGACACTGGGTAGCTTGCTGCAGTTCTCCTCTGACAGACTTGCACGCACTTTTCAGCCCCATGAATAGATAAGCTTATACCTGACAAGAATAAAAATTAGCATCATTAGATACAACAGACCATCCAAGAAAAACTAAACTATAAAAATTATCATAGTTTAAAATGGGGTTGTAGCAGCCCTCTTGAAGGAGAAAAAAATTAAAAGCTATAAAAGCTTGAACTGTGTGAAAAACATGAACATCTTTACTGCTGCTGTGCTGCAGCCATCAGAGCCAGACACACTAATAGATATTTAAATTAATATAAAGTCACGGTTTAGTGCCTTGCTGGCCTGCAGGAAGAATTCCATTCCTGCAAAAATTACACATAGAGCTCACAGAGAATGATATTAATGAGKTAACTATGACAGAATGTATTAAATGACAGTTTTCTGATTGACAGACTAAAACTTAGCAAGAATGGATGTTTTTCTTCTGAACTTTCAGAAGTATCATTGAATCTAATCATATAGAAAAGATGCTACACTTCAGGAAGACCACTTTTTARCACAAAAATTATTGTCTGCTTTTAGGAAAACAGTAAAGCTACAAGCAAAAATAGTATGACCTTAAGCTKGAAAAACAACTGCCCTTTTGACCAGTCCTGTGAAACCAGTCATGGAAGRGGTTTTGAATTTTTGGCCTCTTGGGATTCTTTGGTAGATAATGTAGCACTAAGGAGAACAGAGTCACCACCTCCATAGGCAACCAGTGAAAACACTGTGGGTGCACGCATGGGAAAAAATCCTTGAGGAATGAGATAGTTCTTTATCCCATCTTTYATCTTCATCTTTGAGATGGTTTTGTACATTCAGGATTGAAGCTGCTYTCTCTCTGCCTGATTTTGCAGCACTTCATCAGAGCCAATCTGCAGGAAGTAAACCTGGGAGAGCATGCGCCCAGTTAGAGGGCTAATGAATCTGCTGGCTAGTGCAAAGGACTGTTGAAATCACATATTTGCTAATACAGAAGCCAAATCCCAGTCCCCTTATTCAGTTGATTCATCTTGTGAATGGCAGCATAACAACACACAGGAGCAGAATAACAATTATTTATTAGCCTGGACAGTGCATTTCTATGAATAAAGTGCTTTGAATAAAGGCCATATGGGACTTCAACCAGTGAGGCAAAGCTTGTGAGGTTTTCCCTTAGTTATTACAAGATTAATCACAACTGTTATCTTTCAGCATCACAATGAGGTGTTGTGTTATTTAAAAAGAACATCTCTCTGAAGCTTAAAATGGAATAAGGATATATCTTCTACCACCACTACGTATAAAACTGCATAATGATTGGTTAGATCTCAATAAGGCTGTTCTATCATTTGATCATGAAATAAGTGATCTATTTTAGGAGACAGTTCCAAGTGTAAACTGGTGGCTACTTCTCTGAGGTTGGAGTAAATTGCTTCTTTGCTTTCCCAAAGTAAAGSCTATAAACTGTCATGCAGCTGTGACTCAGCTTCCTAAACTATCTGTACAGCTCTTTTCTTCAGCCATCAAAATAAAGGATACTGCAGCCAGATCATTTTTGCTAAGGACTGCAAAATTTGCAGATTAACTGCATCAACAAGATGTTCAATCTACAATTTGACTCTAATTATATGCAACATTTTATTTCTTCAACTGAATGTTATAAAATGATAACATTGAATTATGAGGCAGAATGTGCCAGGCTTACTGGGAATTTTATGACTGTTCCCAAATATTTTTAAAACTTAAAAGTATGCAGAAATTGCCAGCTTACGYCACTGATATGACACCAATATATTTAATACAATCTGGAGTTCACCATATTCTCCTGATTTACCACTGCAGTTGACCTGTCCTCATAAGCCATTCTCTTATATAGGAAAGTATTTACATACCAGGCACAGGACAAAAATGGAAGTGTCCTTGTTTAGCTAGCATTTCAGCTTTTTCAAGACAGAGTCTAAATCTACTTTGTTGTTATTGTTAAACTATAAATAAAAATATATATAAAACTGCAAAAATGTAAGATGCTAATATTGTAGTAAGCTGAGGTATTACCTTGCTTTCCTGGGGRCCAAAGTCCTTTTAAAAGTACTGGCTCCTGAAAACACATCCTCAGGTAACACATACAACAGCAGAYGCAAGGGGGAAGGAATGGGAGAAAGGGAGGTAGAGCTACTAAGAATTGTGCCTGCCAATTAATTGTGAGATTAACACTTGGTGACCTACTGGGGCTAAGCAGACTCTAGAGTAAACTCTCCCGATTCTTATCTCAGATAATCCACCCTGATGCTGAATCATGGAGTTTGGGGGTCAGAAATGGAATAAATAGTATGCAGACCTTTAAAGAGTAGACACTAAAGCTGACATCTCATAGTTTTTACAGAGATACAGTACCCACATAAGATTTCCAGAAAGACAAGTTCCTTGTCAGYGTACTATGGACTTGTTACTCATTCTGTTCTGTTGGATGGATTTTTTGCCCTGCCTTCAGTCTTGGTACCAGGCAGATGCCCAGCACTGAAGTCCTGATGCTGTTGAACACATGGCAACATGGCCCTTAACTGCACCCATCCTGAAACACAATCATTTACACATGGGCTTGTCAGGCTGGACCCTTGGGCCATAAGTGTCCTGGCTTGTTCCAGTGGACCCTATGCCTGCTATACAAACTAAGAGGYTCTCCTGCTTTTCCATGTGTCTTAAATGTCCCACAAACAGGCCATCAGCAGCAYTTCAACCTGGGATACAGCTTGGAGGCAGGTGTAAAGCTCATGTCCTGGCCTGTAGCCATGGCTGACTGCTCATTTYGGAGGACTAGCTTCTGGCCAGAGCTCTGAAACACACTGGCCTATGGCCAGAGAGCTGCAGCTGTTAGCTGCCTCTGGCCAGCTGCAAACAAAATATATAAGAATGAGAATTAGAAGTTTAGTGTTTCAAAGACGGGTAGGATCTAGGCCTTCAGAAATTGCATATGTCACTTTCCCTTTTCTTTACAGAGCAAAATTCGTTCTCTGTGTGCAAATTTGCATCTGCCCTCCCCCTCCCTACGTACATACCCTTTCTTTTTCTSTCTGATGCTTTAGTTTGAGCCTGCAGGTTCAGGTAAGAGAAGCATCTCACCCCCTTCCTACAAACCACTCTCAACTGTGTAGTTTCTCAGCAGGGAGGTTCCTAAATAATTCTTATTGCTCTCAGCTATGTTTTTATATTATTTTTTTTTTTCAGAGCATGACTTCTTTTATGGTAAGCACATTTTATCTCTTATGACGTGGTGGTATGTATAACTACAATGCTACAGATTTTATGATGCTCCAAAATAAAGAGAACATTAGAAATGGAGTGCTAAAGTCCTTTAAAGTCAAGAATAAARGAATAAAAATCAAACGTGAAGAAGAAAAAGGAGGGAGAAATTAATAAAAGTGAAAAATGACACAGTGTGCCTATGACTTAGAATTTGCCTGCGAAGCTTCATGTGATAGTGAGGTTTGTTTTGTCAACTCTTCAGATGCCAGAGAGATGAGCAACCAGATGCCTTGGTGCTCTGCAATTGCTCTGCCAAGGTGCCTGGCTTTGCTCGTGCCTCAGCCCTGGCAAGGAGCACTGCACACCTCTGCACAGAGCAGTGCCTGCATCCAGCACGCTCCTCATCCAGCTGGCCCGGGGGCCGTTTTCCTGAGCACAGTGCCGCGATGCTAGTACCTATGGAGAYGGCTCTAATGCCAAAAGAGGGCTTGGCAAGGCACTGTATCCAAATTGAACTGCTGGAACTGAGAGCACTTCTCCAGGTGGGATKGCACTTCGCTCTCAGGTCTGGGTCATCCATAGCTCTATTCCAGTCTGCACTGCTTGGAGGGATAGATGTATCATTAGTTTCCTTCTTGGTGCAACTTCCTCCAGCCAGGGATAATAGCGACATGAATAAACCACCCAGATGCAATGCAGAGTTACAAAGCTTGTAWAAACAATCCACACAATTAATCTCAGCTATGCTGACCTGCTTCGCAGACCTTCTTTGGGATATCAGACTGCTGCTCACAGGTGCAGTATGTCCATATGGTTTGGTAAGACCTGAGTATCAGTGCTCAAGGAGAGAAATAACCTGGCTCTTTCTCTTTATGTGGCTTCTTTTCTTCTGCCTTGGGGCAGAATACTCTGCCCTCTGTGGAGCCCTTAAGAGCAGACTGTGGTAGTCATTTTCTTCAAGGCCTGTTTTAGAGTGAAGCAAGTGCAGGGGAGCCCAGATCAAGGAGAGTGGGAGAAGATCTAAGCTGCAGTGTTGCAATGATGGGCCACAAGAAGTAAGGCGCCTTCAGGCAACCTGCAGTCATCAAAGTCCACATAAGCAAGATCATAAGGAAGCATGATGGAAACATGAGAGAAAAAAAACTCTCTGAGTATACTATAGAAATGGGAAATTACGTATTTTGTTCCTTTGGACTTTCACACACAGGGAGAAAGTGGGCTAATCTGTTCACCTTAAAAAACTAAGCACCCTTTCTTCAGCCTGTGCAAGTTCCCAGCTCTGCCATTAAAGCCAATGATATATTGCTAACAGCTTCAGCTTTTACATATTTTGAAGCTTGCCCTGACAAGGGGGAGCTCAGAAAAGGCAAGTAACATGTCAAGTTTCACATGCAAAAACATCTTCACCTCAAATTCAGCACAGAGACTGCTATACTTGATGCCATGATGGACTATTCAGTTTTTTATAAATCCTGGGTGGACATGAATGAAGAAAAATTTATCTGCTGCCTCTTTGCACACAGAGAACAGAAACATTCCAGGAAGTATGTCAATCTTTTTTCTATCTAGTGGGAAAACGTTAAAACTACATTAGGATTTTCACATTTCTGAGCAACTTGAAATACCCATTCTCTAAGTGAATTAGAGAACAGAATCAGCACAGCAACAGCATTGAACCCTTGGCATTGGTAACACGAGTGATGCATAAAAATTATACCTCAATACAGATTATATTCCAAGTAGAATTTTGAAAATGGTGCAACATTTCTCTTCACATCATATATATACATTTTTATATATTTATATATATAAGTAAAACTTTAA